GAAGAAAGGGCTCTCTCTCTCTCTCTGCCCCTCTTCCACCCCCCCCCGCCCCGGCCGTCTGGAGAGAGCAGTGAAGCAAAGACGACGGATGCCAGTGAAGAAGATGGCTGCCTCCTGGAATCCTCGCTGGCAGGAGCAGCGCAGGAACCCGGACCGGTGATCTGTATTCCCCCATTCCCTCTATCTCCCTCTTTTCCTTTTTCTATTAAGAAATGCAAACCATATTGTATTGCTCGCCACAGCTTGCTCTGTACTTAGCCAATTATCTTGTGTTCAATTAGTACCTTGTAGGTAGTTAATAAATGCTTGAACTTGGAGACTTGTTGTCCGCTCCAATTGGGGATTTGCGAATTTGAGTCACTTGTCCCCCTCATCGGAGCGGGACGTGACAAACGTTGGTCAGTCTGATTGGTGGAACTGGTAGTCCACTGCGTTCTGTGGAAATTGTCACTGACTGAACTAGATTCAGCATTTTACCCATCTGTTTTCATAGTGTTAGTTACCTGTTTGCACTACTTCATGAGACAGTAGCATTTACAGAAGCTTTTAGAGGCAGTGGGTAAGTAATCTGTGATCTCAGGAATCTAAATGTTAATAAAGGTCCCTATTTCATTGAAAGTCAGTTTGCTGGGGTCTTTTTTTCTTAAACATACACAGGAGCTTTTAAAGCACACATAAAACATTGCATGCCATTTCACTCCTATGCATTTGTTGGCTCAGGCCCTTCAAAAAGTTACTGACATGAACTCACTTTAACTGTTGCAATGAAAACTCTAATTCATCTTTTTTAGCTTCCTTAAAGTCATACGGGTTGTTTAATGAAGTACCTTGAAAGACTGATTCCCCCAGGAAGCAGGTTGTTTTCTAAGAGTGAAAAAGTATTTTTTTTACTGTATGAGATGATATAAAAAACCCTGAACTCTGCATTTAAATAGAAAAGATTTTTCTTATATGTGCTGGCTAAATTTGGGGTTTTATTTATATATATATATATATATATATATATACATATTTGAAGTATGGCTATATATCACTAAAGTACCACATTAATTAACATTTATTTTCTCAAGTGCTCAAAACTTATAGACATATATATCAGATTTGAAGGTTAATGCATGTTTGCATTTTAAAAAGTACATATTTTTTTTTTCTCTCTTGCCTGTGGGAAGCTGGGGTTCCCATATATAACTTACCATAGAACAACCTTTATGTGGGTACTACTTACATTGAAACCAAAACAAATCCATCGTCACTGTATCAGGTTTTTCACATCACCCGTAGTTTTCATACTGCCTTAAGGCAAACAAACATTTGGCAAAATGTGTACTTTTAATCTTCTTTTTGTAGTTCTTCCTCCTAGTAAGTCTACCGGTAACTGTGATGCCTGGAGCAAGTAACACTACCACTAGCCACTCAAGGGGCTGAATGACTCTGACAGTAAGAGGTAGCAGTAAAAGGGTAGGAAGACCCTTTTCGTGATCAGCTGTCAATCTGGGTGGCCCAAAACTGTAACTGCAGAGAAAATCCTATGTCAGTAGTGGGGTTCTCTCGGGCAATGAGACGTTAGCAAGGTTTGACAAAGGCATAATGCAGACTAAATCCATAAACAGGGTGATCGTTGTGTATTTCTGTATACAGTTTGTGCAGCTCTGCACAGCTGAGCTGTTGTGCCCGTGTAAACATAACTCTTCTCTCCATCTAACTGCAGATGATACTTACATAAGAATGGTAATAAGAACAAAGAAGTTGTTGTAACTCTTGCAGCCCTCAGCACTGTCATGCACTTCTGTGTCGTTTCATGCCAGATAATAATGAGACATGATATGGTATATAATGGAACATGATACACTCGTGCAACTTTAATGTGATTTCTAGTTCTCCATGATTAACATTTTTTTGCAGAAATTTATTGACTGTTCATGCTGAACAGTTCTATCTTAATATAAAAGCCTAGAAATAGTGAATATTAATATATCAAACATTTTAAACTAATTATTTTTGTTCTGGTTTTGAGACTACAATATGTCCCTTGCCCCATAAAGCTGATTGAGTGAAAAGGAAAGGGAGTAGCAAATCATTAGGGACAATTTTGGGAGCGCTTACATCAACAAGATTTTGTGGTTACTCAAGCTTAAGCTTAAGAACAGCTTGGTGGAGACAGAAACATTGATTGTTGGCTCTCTGATGTGAATTTTTAATCTTTGTAACTTCATTCCTTTATTTACTCTTTAAAACTTATTTTTCATTCTTTACTCTTTAAAACTTATACTTCTGTTGTTTTATTAACTTTGGTGATTTATTTCCGAGGAAAAGAAAATGGAACTATAGAGAAGTGACTTTCCCAAGGTCCTACCATGAGCCAGTAACACCTGTGTACAAATAGAATTCAAATATGCCTTGCAGTCTTATGTCGTAGCTCCTATGTACAGTTGCTTTTAAGGTGTTTTACTGTTAAAACACAGCTTACAGAGTAATAGAGTGCAGTGAGCCAGCATGCATTGTGGCCTTTGGTTATATCATTATGCATGGTTCAGGTGAACACATTTTAAAATGGAAGTCTGAATATCAGACATGGGAAAAGAATGAGGAACAATGTCTGAGGTGGTCTTTAATTTTAATGCATTCATCACCCTGCTGGACTCAAATGTTAGTTCTCCAAGGGGTTAATTTTCAGGGATTACAAAAACAGTGGTAAAGCATAGGAATTAGTTTTGGTTTGTTTGTTGGGTGTTTTTTCTTTTTATCAAAACAAAGGCACTGATAGAAAGTACATAGATTTTTTTTCAGGACATTCCAAGATTCCAGTATTATGAAGAGGAGTAAAATAAGATGGAAGTGTAATAAGACACATTTGTGTGCAGGGTTGTGAAAAGGTTTTTATTATACTGTTTAGAAAATATCTCTTCCTCAAGTGATATTACAGCTGGCAAAAACCACAGAGGGAAGGAGGACAAAGGTTAAGAAGGCTAAAGCAATAACATTTTTTAAAAAATGAATAATTTTAAGAGGAAAATGTAATGCATAATAAATAAAAAAAAATCTCACTTGAGATTTGGGATTCATTCATTTGTTGTACTATGAAATTAAGTTGGCAGCATTGCAATTCCGACTTGCCTCATCTGAGTACAGCTCTGTGTTTTAGATAATATTATTATACTTTCCTTTCCTGTCCCTACCTAGACATGGCCACCACAAAATTACAGTGACTGTCTACTTTTCCTACGTACAATCATGGCAAAGAATATCCGTGTTCAAAAAGGTATTGAGGGAGAGAGATTACAGAGGGATAAAGGTGGGGTGTGGAAAATAATTTCCAGGCACCCTTTCTCTTTTAAAATGCTGAAACCAGATTCTTTGGCAACCTTTCCTTTTTCTCTTTCTATATGTGTGCAATGTTTCTCTTAAATTGATGGCAAGTGTATCTTTTAATGTGCTATATATCTCAAGCCAGAATATGTCAATGTTAATGGCTTATTCAGTTTCTTCTGACTGGAAGCAGCATCCTTAATCAGCAGAGATGCAACTGTTTACACACCAGGAGATGTGGCCATTATTTCAGGTACCACAAACCATTTGTTTTACATTGCTACTTTTCTTTGTTTTCTGGCATGTTTACGTTGAGTAAACATGACTCTTCTGTTATGCTGCCATAAATTAGATGAATCTTTGCTGAAATTGCTAGTGTTATATTACTCTAAATTGGTCTGAGTATATTCAGAATGAGATAGTTATTTGCATGATATGTTGTGTGTGTATTATCACTGTGTTTGCCTTACAGTTTTTGAAGGGAAACTCTTACTCCATATTGTGTTTTCTCCTCAATTAAAAAAAAAAAAAAAAAAAAAAAAGTGTTAATGCTTTCTCTCAATATTCAGATATTTTTAAAATTAAGTAAAGGTGTTTGTGTATGTGGGATTGATTTAATCATTTTGATTACAGAGGCAGTGAAAGTAACATGTACGAGTGTGGAACTCTGTGGTGAGTTAACTGCAAAATGTATGTACATCACTGACAACACTTATAATGTATTTGCTTTTCTGCATTACCATAAAGGAGTCTAATAAATCTAAACTTAGAGAAAATTTCATATTTTTTGCATGCAGAACTGATTTTTCAATTACTTAGATTTTTTAGAGCCTAATCCAAATCCTGATGAAATCTATGAGAGTTTTTCCATAGACTTCAGTAAGCTTTGGCTCAAGCCCCCTCTTTTCAATTTTTCAAGTAGATTTGCCAAAAATCTGCAGAGAGCCAGGCACTTGGAAAGTTTTTACTTGCAAAGTACATCTGGTTTTGAGTTGCATACAGTAAAGTTCCCAATGCTTTTTTGAAACAACAACAAAAAAATTGTTTTAAATGTCTTATAACTTTAGTAGGTAAAAGAGTGGCTTTAATGTTTGAAGCTGAAATTGCCTTGGGTCTTAGTCTAAGCATGACAGATTCTATACTAGAAGATTATTCTTAAATTGCATAACTATATGATAACAAAGCTTAAAATTACAGTCTTATTGTAAGTTTAGCTAAAATTTTATTGGATTGTGAGTTCCAGAGAGCCAGGGATGTCTGTCCTAATAAATGATTTGGTTTTTTGCTACAGTGGAAAACTACACTGCCATTAAAGAATAATTCCCTGAGGTTACCTACACTAATTTGAGAGAGCTCTTGAACTTCAGGGAACATATTACACTGCCAGATCCATCTGGTGACGCAGGGTGGTTTTCACTGCCTCTGGGGGGTTGGATCACCAGACTTGTAGGGAGATGTGATGGGACAGGCTAGGTTTTGGAGAGCTTGGGGCACAGCCTGTGCCTCAGCAAGCATAGCTCATACCCTTGCCTGTCAGACTAAGATTACAATAGTGGTGTTTTAGGCTAGTGTCTGAGGTTCTGGATGGCAGTCAGTGAGGTGCAGAATCTCTCTCAGCTTCCCATTTTGTTTTTTTGAGTGATCACCTCGAGCACAGATAGGATGCAGATCTGGCTGAGGTAAAGCTCCTCAGTAGCTACACTGTGAATTGCCCCTCACCATGGTCTTGATGGCTTTTTCTCAGGAAGAAAAAGGGTGACATCTTCCTGAATCCGAATGCCTGACATTATTACAAAGTTTTGCATCATCAGTGTTGAACTTGCAGATTTTTTTTTTTTTTTTTTTTTTTTTTTTTTTTTTTTTTTTTTTTTTTTTTTTTTTAATTTTTAAAGAATGAGAGCATTTTGGAAGGCTGGTCATGTTTATGACTGGCCCACTTTTTGTGAGCAGTCAGCTGTTAGTCTACTCATGAAGTAGACTAGACTATAGATGGTTCAACTAGTGTTTGTGTGGTAAGTGAAGGTCCCTAAATTCATGTTTCCCTTGCCCCGTGTTTATTCAGATTCACCCATCTCTGATACTGTGATCTGGTAATTGAGCTGGGAAATGTAATGAAATCAAACATGAGGTGCTTCATGACACTGGCAGATTTGAAAAATTCTTTAAAATAGTTATTTTTTTTCTAATTGTGTCACTGGCTGAACCATGAACGGCAGTAATATAGGGGGCAAGCAAAAGTGAAAAGCTATGTAAACTGGAATCCCTAAGGTTTTGTTTTGATTCAGTTACACTTTGAGGAGAAGATTTAGCTCATCCTCTGCTAATTAGAATATCGATAAAGCACTAATTAAAAAAAAAAAAGAAGTGTAGTTAACTAAATAATGCTGAAGTTATTATATTATCCTTTCTTGTAGGATTATAAAAATCTTCATCAAACTGGTAAAAACTGCAGATTTGATGAGTTTTATGGGAATAACATGGTATGCCACATACCTGTATGTTGGGTGTTCGCTGTGTATTAGAAGTGCAAATACCAGAGCAGGGTGCATTGCCAGTCCTTTGATGAACGATGTACTTTATTAATTTTGACCCTAACGAAAGCTTGACTGTTATTCCACGTGAAGAATACTTGTTAACCGTAAATTAGAGATATCACTGAAAGGGGTATTTCTTCAAAGTTGGGATGATGAGGGGGATGTTTCACTGTATTAATCGAGTTTCAGTTTTAATTACCTACTGTCTTCTATGTAACAGTAAGCAGCTGTGCCACACTGTGTTTCAAAGAACATTTACTCAGCCTTTAAATTTACCATTAGAGATCAAAGAGGAGTTCTGAGGTATGTGGATGATGAAGGATGCCTCAATTCGAATGAATGGCTGAGCAGAAATAGTGCAGCTACAGGGTAATAAATGTTATGTACAACCTTTTTTAATGTAAGTTACGTGGTGCTGAACTATATTAAATTTTTAAATGGCACTGAAATCTTTCACAATTATCTTAAAACTGTATCAGGCTGCTGATAAGCATGTGTATCTTCTAACACTTTTTTCAAATAAAGTTTTCAGTCAAAACTGAGGGGTTTTTAAGTAAAAATAATTGCTGGTGACATTCTTGAAAGCAGTTTAGGAATAAATGGATGTAGAACTACATACAGGAATTTGTGGAGGACATTTCAGAGTACAGTATGTCTAAATGATCAGACTCCTTTCACTCTTAAAATCTATTTAAATAGATATGAATTAGTAATTCTTGGGTTTTATCTTCTCTAAAATGGAGAGGGTTTCTTGTAACCAGAGTAGTCATTAGGGGTATGAGGTTGCTGTTCAGTGCTACTTAAAATGAACTTATAAACTGACATTCTCATTTGAATCAGGTCATTGATAAAGCAGGCAACAATGTGACAGGAGTTATGCAGGATATTAAAGTTAGTGCAATAAATTATGTTCTATATCCTGGGTCTGATTACATTCTACCATAAATTGTTGAGAAGAAGGAAATTCTATGGAGTAATGTAAAGCAGAATCCAGCCAGATATTATGAGGTAATTAAAGAGGTTAAGATCTAGCAAGGGCCATATCATGTATTCTGGATAGGATTTTCCCATGGTCCTGTGATTTTATCCTAAAAGTCCTTCTGAAAGTAACACAGTTTCTTATGATGCCTGTGATGGTAAACAGCTGCCATGTTTCCCTACAAAGGCACTGTACTGGCAGAATTAATACTTCACAATACTTTCCCAGTCTGAGGAGAACAAATTAATCAGTTTTGCTTGATTATTTAATTTAATTAGTTATCAAGGAATGGTGCTCGTTGTACAATCTTGCAACAGATTTCTCAAATATTTCCAAATGAAAAGTACTGGTATCTATGTCAAAAAAGAACCATTATTTTTGGTCAACTCTGCAGCACATTAAACACAGAATTTTGTTCTAGTTTAGTGTGAAATTGATTCTCATGTTGATATCTTGATTTTCTCTGGCTATTGAATTGCATACACATGAGATCATTTTGGTTAGTGTAGTTACAGTGTATATGATAAACCCTGTGAAAAAATGTAAGAAATGTTCAGTTATCTATTCATGGTTAGTCTACTCTGAATTTGGGTCCATGCTGTGTAGAAGATATTTCTTCAAGTGTGTACTTTGTGATTCACTGAAAAATTACAGAATTTTAACATCATCGAATGGTTTGGGTTGGAAGGGACCTTAAAGGTCACCTAGTTCCAACCCCCCTGCCATGGGCAGGGACACCTTCCACTAGCCCAGGTTTCCCAAAGCCCCATCCAACCTGGCCTTGAGCCCTGCCAGGGAGGGGGCAGCCACAGCTTCTCTGGGCAACCTGTGCCAGGGCTTCACCCCCCTCACAGGGAAGAACTTAGGTCTAATCTAAATCTACCCTCTTTCAGTTTTAAACTGTACCCTCATCCTACCCCTACACTCCCTGACAAAGACTCCCTCCCCATGTTTCCTGTAGGCCCCCTTTAAGGTACTGGGAGGCCGCTGTAAGTTCTCCCCAGAGCCTTGCCTTTTCCAGGCTGAATAATCCCAAATCTCTTAGCCTGCCAATAGGAAGCTTTCTGCAACACGTTGCCAACTCAAGGAAGCACTTCATTTCTTGGTTCAGACCATTCCTTCTTAATCCAAGTATGCCACTTCAGCATGTATGAATATCACTGGTTGGTTATGGATGTTGAGAGTGATAATTATTCATTTGCAGACCAGTCATAAGATTATGCTGAGGAGAAGTTCACTTCATCTGCCACTTTTCTAAGATGAAAGAAAGATCTTTGTTGTGCATGCTGTGTGATTATTCTGTAATATTTTTGGCAAGTCAACAGTTTACCTTGGTAGAATGAAAAAGGAATTGTTATAGAGGTATGTACAATTAGGACTCACCATAGTAGGTTGTATTAAGAAATTTTTGGCAGGCACAGCAGTCTGGTGCTTCTGAACAGTGAAATAATTGTTTTGATCAACAAGATAAGGGTGAAATCCTGGCCCTATTGAAGTCGCTGGGAGTCTTGCCATTGGATTAATTTAGTCAGATTTCTCCTGTTTACTTGACAGTACTGTATGTTACTGGTTTACTCGTATTCATGTCGTGGTTGGTAACCTGGTTTAGCAGAATGCATGAGAGCTACCTCTGAAGCAGAGTTCTTTTAAAAGTACCTGCAGAGTTTGAATTCATTTCAGGTGGGTCTTCCTTCAGTGTTTGGACAAAAATGAATCTACAGAAGATGTTTTTTAGCTCATTGCTGGTTTGGTGTTAGTAGAAAGGAAAACACACATACCCAGTTATGTTCTGGGAGGAAAAAGAATAATTAAGAGGACTGTAAAAGCCTCCTTGTTTTCCTGTAACTTTGGTGCAATGATGGCAGTGCTATCCTCTTGTCTTCATGACAAGTAAAGAGATAAAAGTGTAAAGAAAATATGAAAATTACATTGATTCATTTCTATTAATTCCTACTGAGCACCAAATAGGAAACACTCAGCACATAGTATTAATAGCTGTACCAAACCCTTTTGAAAGGCTGACTTTAGCAACTGCCACAATATGTAAACTTGAAATATTATATTCCCTTTTTCTTTAAAAAAAAAATAATCTTCAAATGAGGATAAACTAAGGATTCGCTGGGGAAGTAAAGAAATACAAAGAATTTGAATGTACCTTGTTAATTACAATTGTAATTGTACTTTACATTTGATGCAGCTCAAATACAAAGAATCTGATGATACTTTATGTCAACGGATAAAGCCCGGGTATCAAGAATAACACCAATATGGTTTGCCAGTTTGATCCAATTTTATTAACTACAGAGCATTTTATATACTGTTAGAGAGTGATCACATGAAGCTAAACAACCTGTGATTGGTTCTAAGCTACTGTCCACATGATATAATTCATATTTCATTGGTATAATGTAAGAAGCACATGCAAAAGGCATGACCCATGGACCACCTACTTGAGGTTTTCAACTTCATACCTTATCTCTAATTAAAGAATTTGCTGAACAATAGCTCTCTATGCAGTGGCAAGCCAGAGAGGAACGCTGAACAATAATTCTTTATACAGAGGCAAATAGCAGAGAATTATTCATTTCGGTATCAAGGACCATGTGACCGTTATCTTCCAAAAATTCCTCCACAACTTTATTGCTTACACCATAGGCAGTAAGAGAGAGCGCCTCTTGTGTAATCAGTACTTAAGCAACTTAGTCATTTAGCTGCTGTGTAGAAAATACCACAGGTATTCACAGGATAAAATGAACAGTCTGCTATAAGTAGCATTTCATGTTAGAGAAAGTGCAGATGCTGCTGCAAGATGTATTATATTTCCATAATCATCAATAGATAACAAGAATTGTTTAACAATCCATATCCTTCTGTGTGCACTTAAGCTATGGGCAGATCAATAAAAAAGCATTAAGAGTGGTGCCAATTGAGGATATTATACCTGCAGGATATTTGACTACATAATGGAAACTAAATCTGGATTTCAATAACTCTATTTAGGCAAATCATTATCTAAACAATGTCTTCCAATTTCTCTTTCATTTTGGGTCATTTGGAAAGGGAAAGTCTATACTCAGTCAAGGGAGTTTCTTGTTTAGTATTTCTAACAAATTATTTTTCTATATGTGAAAGAAGTATAGCTAGTGTCTTAACATAAACGTTGTAGTAGTTCATAATAATAATTTAATAACTTTATATTTAAAGTTACTCCTGAGTCCCATCTGTGAAATGGTGGTCAATACATAGAAGACAACTCCACCAGCATGTGTTGAAATGATTGCTCAATTAAAATAAGCTTTCTCAAGTCTTTAAAATCCTGTAATGGATTGTCATGTAGTGAGTGCCTTTCTTACGGACGAGAACGGCTTGAAGAAGATGCTGACACATGCCTGGAAATCTTCAAGAAACTTGTAGATGGCTGTCTTGGAGACATGGATGAAGAAAATGAACTCAACGATCAGCCTTGCAGTGATTAAGCTGGACCTTGGTATTTTTATCCCCCTGGTAACATCCTTTTCACTAACTACCTGCTACGGTGATGGTAGGTCTCAAGAATTAGAAGGGTTTAAAGAATTGCATGCTGTGTGCCTGCATCCTCAGCAAGATCCATTTATCATGTGAAATAGGAGCAGTTGCTGTTTCTGCAACACAGAATTACTGTGTACAAAGAAACTGGGGGAAAAGCTGTAATTGTGCCATAAACTGTTGCATTAAGTGCCCGTTTAAGGTATTAAAAAGCTGAATTCTTAGGGCCCTATATATGCACTGCACTGGAATGGTCCCAGAGACTTTTTTCCTCTTAAGGCTATTGTGGCTACAGCTGAAGCAATGAGAATTTTATATACACTTAAGCATAACTAAACTCTTAAGTTGAGGCTGGTTCTTGCATTTGTAACCCTTTGTTTTTAAAAAACAAGGAGGAGAGATATAAAGTCAACGTTTTAAGTACAACTTAATTTAATAGTTACCACAATCTTATTTGACCTCACAAACTCCTACTGATACTTGAAAATTTCAGATATATTCCTTCTAAAACTGTTTGCTTGCTGTGTTCATTCAGTGCTCTCATTGGGTAAAGATGCTAGCTTTTATATTAAATTTGGAGGGGATGCTTTTGTGGTGATATAAAAGGGAATGTGATGCTGGGCCATTAAATGCTTTAAAACTAAAGTAGCTGTTACTTGATGCTGGAGACTTCTGTGTGAAGGTCGACAGGAACTGGCAATCAGATTGCCTGTGAACCCACAACATGGCTTTGGAGTCAGAATTAACTGTACTTAGATGGTTGAGGACATAATGGTCTTCCAAATTTTCGGTAGAAATAATGGATATTGTGTAATTATTTGTAATTTCTAAATGGTTATAAAGTATCTTTCAGGAAGAAGAATATGGCATAGGGCCAGGCACCTACACTGATCTTGAGGGTGTTACTGATTCTCTGCAGAATGGTGTCACTGATATCAAAAAGCAGGCAGAAGAAACACACAGACACGTTGTGTCTCTAGAGGACCCACAGGAAGCTGTAGGTTGGTTTGAAAAACATCTGGGCAAAACTGCCACTGAACAACTCAGAGCAAAGAAAAGCTGACAGAGAAAACCAATGAACTACTCAAAATTGAAGAGCAGCTGACACAGAAAACCAAAGGTGAGCTCTGTCTGTGTGTTGTGAAAGAAAAGAGAAATGACTACTGTAAAATAGTAGTTGAGCATTGTAAAATCCAGCTGAGCAGGATTTTGGAACCCAATCGTACTTACAGAGGTGATAATGAATTGTTTTGTGTATGTTCAGGTTGAACAATTTCACAGGACTTGATTATTTCATTTTTAAGACAAAAAAACTGTCAGTTGAAGACTTCTGAATTGTGGGGTAACACATCAGCATTGTTTATTCATGATTTCCTGGTTATATTGTGATCCCAGCACTTCACATTTTGCTGATGCAGTGTTTTCAGCTGTTCTGTGGAACATTCATAGATAAAAGTAGCAACACCTCATGGTACGATTTCAGCAGAAGTCTCTTGATCTATATCTTATACAGGTTGCAGGCCCCAGTTTTGTTCAAAAAACCCTAAAATTTGAAATGTGTCCTGCAAGTAGAAGCCAACACAACAATAAATGAGTTTATTCAAAAGCTACTAATGTACCAGAAGATCTGGAAAAATGGATTACTGAGTAAACGATGTCATGGCTTATTTGATGCAGGCTTCTTTTCCTGTTACAGGCATTGAAATGCAGATGATTTAATTGGATGAGTTTCATGAGCAATTTAAAGAAGAAACTGAGGTCACTTAAAAAAAAAAAAAAAAGTAGTGCAAAATGCTTTAATACGGAATTTAGTAGCTTAAAATGCTGTTGTAGTACGTTTCTAGCTTTTTTATATCAAGCTTAGCTCAACTGATCTTGCTTCTAAATGCATCGTATAGTTCAAGAATTTAACATTGACTGAACTACTTTCTTTTCTAAGAAAATGAATATGCAGAATAAAAGGATTCAAGTACTAATGGACATCGTGGAGCAAAAGATGATGTTACCATGAGACTGCAAGATTTGATATCCTGTTCAGAAGAAACCATAAAAGACTATGTAAGTCTTAGACATCTTAATTTTGTTTACAAGAAAACCTGAATCTGTGCTTATAATGGACTTGGCTATTTTGGAAAATTGAAATTTCCTGTAATTGCTACTTTTTTGAAATGGCAGCAGGTGAAGTTGGCATTGAAATGAAAGTTACAGCAAAGTGTGTGTGGAAAATAGGAGCTTTGGAAGCAGTGATCTGGACCTGTTATGGGAGGACTGTTGATGAGACTGTGAGGAGCCACTTCAAAGAAAGAAAAAAACCCAACAAACTGGGAGGACTTCAGCAGTGAGAAGAGAGGGATTATGTCACTGTGTTTTATTTTTGCCTGAATGGAAGAGGAAGGAAAGGAGGTTTTGCTACATCAAAAGGTCAAATTTAATTGAAGTTAGAAGTTAATGTGAGAAGGAAAGTGATTGTCTAAATTGGCACCAAACATCAGTGTGTTCTGTGGGTGCGTATGCCGGCTTGTTGGACTTTCTGTGCACACTGACAGTGCAAAAGTACAACCAGCACTCGGGTCAGAAGATTAACGATGTCTGAATGCAGGAAGGCCAGAAGAGAAGAATATGCTTGTTAAGGAAGAAACTGATAAAGAAGGGACTCGCCAGAGTTGCAAAAGCAGGAACTTACCTACGGGGCACGTGCGGGCAGCAATGTTTGTGGGAAGTGCCAAGGCTTGGAGCTGTTTTTGAAATTAGCATGTGCAAGAGTAATGCAGGGTAGTAACAAGTATGTAAGGGCTTGCTGCTGTTTTCAGAATGCACAAGTACGTAAGGGCTTGCTAGCTAATAAAGCTTGAGCTTGACTTCCTATCATATTGATTGTCTGTGGTCTTGTCTCCAGTGGCCTGCACAAGAATTCGTCCCCACCATCCATCATCCATCTTCTCACACGCCACCATCCCCCATACCACAATCCACCACCCACTGTCCTCCTTCCACCCATCCCAAAATGCAACATCCACCATGCACCATCAATCTTCCCACCATACACCATCCATCATCCACCTTCCACCTTTCACTGTCCACCATCCATCTTCAATCATCCACCATCCCAAAATGCACAATCCGTGATCCAGTATACTGCAATCCTCCATCCCTCCACAATGATCCTTCCCACAATCAACCACCATCCACCATGCACTTTTCCACAATCCACCATCTACCAAAAACCTTCACACCATTCACCATCCAGCAACCCACCATCCTCCTTCCCGTAATCCACTATCCACCTTCCCACAATTCATCATCCACTAACCACCTTCACACCATCCACCTTCCATCGTCCATAATCCACAAGCAACAATCCACCATTCACCATCCCACCAGCCACCATCACCCAGCCACCACCCACCATGCCACCATCTAACATCTACCATCCAACATTCACAATCATACAATCTACCATCCACCTTACCACGATCCACCATCCACAATCCACTATCAACCATGCCACAATCCAGCATCCACCTTCCCACCATTCACCATTTACATAAAATACCACCAAGCTTTCCAGCGTTCACCATTGCACAATCCACCATTCAGATCCACCATCCTCCGTCCCACAATCCAACATCTGCCATCCGCCATCTAGCTTCCCACAAACACACCATCCACCATCCCACGATCCATCATACACCCTCCATATTCCACCATCAATCATCCCACCATCAGACTTCCCACAATCCACCGTCCTCCTTCCACACATCCCACAGTACAACACGCACCATGCACTACAGATCTTCACACCTTACACCATCCACCATCCCACAATCCCCCATCCATCATCCCCCTTCCCACCATTTACTGTCCACCATCCACAATCAACAATTCACCATGCCAAATGCACCATCCACCACCCAGCATCCACCCTCTCGCCATCCATCATCCGCCATCGGACATTAACTATCCCACAGCTGACCATCCACCAAGCATCTTCACACCGTCCACCGTCCCACAAACAACAGCCCACCATTCCACTTCCCACTTTCCACCATCCTTCCCACAAGGAACCGTCCACCATGCACCATCCAGCTTCCCACCATCCCCCATTAGACATACCACCATCCACCATCCTCCTCCCAACCATGCCCAGTCAGCTCTCCACCATCCCACAATTCCCAGTCCACTATGCGCCATCCACCTTCCCACCACCCACCATCCTCCTCCCAACCATCCCCGGTTCCCTGGTCACCCTCCACCCCCCCCAATCCACTCTACATTACCCACCACCCCCAGGGACGCCTTCAGGTGGCCAAAACGGCCCCAGAGCTCCCTCTGCCCCATAGCTGCCACACATCACTAACCCCCAGCAGGTTGGAGGCTGAGCCCAGGCCAACTTGGGGGGCGGGAGGTTATGGGGCAGCCCCATAGATGGGATGTGGGGTGGGAGGGGATTCTGCTGCCCCATAGCTGTGGGGGTCAGCAGCCCCTAAAGCCTCAGATCGGGGGCTGGAATGTTGGGGGGG